TTTAAATTTTAATTTTCATGTAATATATTTAAGATAAATAAATAAAATATTTTAATATATTTGACATTCTTTAATAAAAGAGCATAAAAATAAAAAATCTTCTTTATTTTTTTAATTTAGTGTCAAATCAATATATAACAAATAATTTAAAACGAAGAAAGTAGGATAAAATTTGTAAAAAGCTGTATAAGGCAATAAGGTTTTCGAAACTGACCAAAATATATAGAGGTCATATTGTAATTGATTTGTCGGGAATAAAATATTGTACAATTGATTTGATGTTGTAAACATATTATTGTTTAATAATGAAAACTGCGAATATCATTTCAGACCAAATATCATTGCGAATATCACAAAAAAAGAGATTATATATTTAGCAGTAATTATTTAATAATAATAACTTAATTATTGTTAAATATATTTTTAATGCTAATTAACATTCTTTATAAATGTCTCTCGTAAATTTCCTTTAAAAAAAAAAGAGAAACTTTTTGTTGATAGTGAAAAGAAAAAGTCCATGAGTTAATATACATATGTATATTTATTTAACAAAACAAAGTTCCTAAGCTAGAGTGAAAAACATTTCCACAATCCTTTTTCTTACCACTAAGCTATCAATCAGTTTTGTTAGGGGTTCACGAGTTAATATACATATATATAATTTAATTTTCTAATATAAATACAAAATCTACGAAAAAGTTACTGGGCTCGTCCGAACCCACGAACCTCCACATAGCTCTGCCTCTGCCAATAACAACATTAGATCAATTGACAATTAACTAATGTCGGTAAAAGCTTTAGCAATCTTTATTAATGTGTATATTTATTGCCACTAAAAATTATTTTTGCTCTGGTGTATATAATACACTTACCATTCACTTAATTATTACTGTATATATATGTCATACAATATGTATATATACATCAACGACGACTACAAATTACTTCGCCCATTTTTAATTGTCATGTTACTCTTTTCGAAAGTCAATTTGATTAATTTTCAAAGTTAAATTAGATTACATCAATTCGATATTTTAAACAAAAAAAATTAGATATTAAAAAAATATACAAAAAGTACTATAAATTGAAATTTTTCGCATATTAATATGATGAAAAAATATATTGTAAAATATTCATCAAAATTCTTATAGTTTGACTCTAAAAAAGAAAATTATGACAATTAAAAGTAGACTGAGGAAGTATTACCTTGCTAAAAATATTAAGCTTCCTAAAAAGTTACGAAAACAAACCATTATGTACGTTAATTTTCATTAAAAGCAGGAAATTAGGAGTAACAAATTGGAATTAAGGTATGTTGTTTGGAGTAAAAAAAACATTTGGATCATTTTTCAACAAGCCTAAACAATTCAATATCATACACCATTTATTAGGAAGCTTCAAATGTTATAATATATGTGGCAAAATTGATAGTTACTGTAGCATTACGAGAATATTTTAAGGCGGGAAATCAAATCCTTATTGAGCTACGAAGATTTTCCACATTACGAGTCACAAAGTACTAGATAGATAAGTATCTACATCCACCTGAATGCCTCTTTTTTTGTAATGACCCGAAAGGTCATTTTTGGAAATTTCATAAAATTACCATTTTACCCTTACCTGAGTTAACTTTGGTCAGTCGGTGAAGTTGGTTTGAGAAGTTTAGAGCTATTCGTTAACCTCAATTATTTAATTGACGGGTATATTTATTTTAAATAATTAATTTAGTTTGTAACTAATAGGTTAAATCCATAAGTTATTTAAAAATCCTATACCTTTTGGCCCATTATTTATTAAAATACGTTAGGGATTTATCACTTTTTAATACTTAATTTATTTTAGAAAACGAAAATAAAGCGAAAGAGAAATTTACCTGGGCAAAGCGGTTACTTTTTAATTATTTATTATTCTTATTATTATAATATTAGGTGAGGGGGAAGAGAAAGGAAAGGAAATTGAGTTGAGAACTCAATTATCCAATTTTCGTATATGTTATACTGATTTAGATTTGATAAAATTTTGGTGTCAGTTATTGTGTAATTTTGATCCCATAAAAGGTGATAGAAATTGTATGATTGTCAATTGGGTTGGAAAAATAAAAGGTGGGAATTGATAATGTCCAAAGATTAGTGGGTTCTGGAAGACAAACTTGTAGTTCACTAATTGGCTAACCATTTTAATCATTGGTTGGAATAAAAGGTGTCCTCAAAAATCAATTTTTCCAGTATGTTACTGTTCCTATATCAGTCAGGTTTAAATTTTATATTTTTAATTATCATATTATGATTCAAGTTTTGATCTATTGGTATATGTAATTAAATATCAGGTGTATGATATTATGTGATCATTAGAATTATGATATTGGAAAAAAAATTAGGACTTAACCCTAGGCATGAAACTTAGAAACTTGATTATAGATTTTGGTGAGTTTTTGGGTCTAGGCTAAACCTATAGTAATGTGGGTGTTGTTAGTTTCAAAATCTTATTATGGTTATGTACTTGAATAGATTGCATTGATTTGAAAGCTTAACGAAATAGGAAGTCTCAAGTTGATGAGTGATTGTTCAACTATTTGAGGCAAGTGGATTTCTAAACTCTTGTTAAGTGTATGAAATTCGTGTATTTCCTTGTAATATGTGTTTGGGGGTAATGAGACTTGGTGATGGGTTGACTTGTCCATATTGATTAATTCTAATTATGAAAAAGGGGTAATAAAAGGCAATGTGATTAATTGTTGGTGTGTGATGTGTTGAGAATGGTTTGAAAGGCTTGTTGAATCATTGTGTTGTTGTGAATTGTGCATTATTATGAAAATGGTCATCTTCTCATTATTTGTGTGAACATGTCATTTGCATTGTTCTGAGACATGATTGTGACAAGTGTTATGTGAATTGAGAAAGAGTCAGAAATTAAAGAGGATGTACCATTTCGAGGGACGTATCGCGCGCTGCGACATATACTATATTTCGAGGGACGTATCGCGCGCCGCGATGGATACTATATATCGAGGGACGTATCGCGCGCCGCGATGGATACTATATATCGAGGGACGTATCGCGCGCCGCGATGGATGCATGAACATATATGTTCCCCATGGGTCCCGAATTGTGAGACATCAGGTGTGTATCATTAGGTCAAACATGCATCATTATACTTGACATTTCATTTCATTGCATTGCACATCTTTATCATTGGTGAACTTGATCTTGTGTGTTGCTGATCTTGTGAGTGTCTTACTATGGAACTTGTGATTGATATATATTGAGTTTGTTGTTGAGGATATGTAATTGTTAGAGAATTGTTGTTGAGCTGGTGGTTTTGTAAACTGTGAACTGTTAGGTTGGGCTGGTTTTATGCAGGTTGTAGTTGTGGAGGTTCGGTTGGGGTGGTAAGGAGTACCCGTATTCTATTTCCTTAGCTTGTGTTTAGGAGTTTACTTGCTGAGTACCGTGTGGTTTGGTACTCACCCCTTGCTTCTACATTTTTGTAGGTTACTTGCCCAGACCTTTGTGATATTTTCTCTTCTCCTTGTCTGAGGCTTTTTGTGGAGGTTTGTGAGGTAGTTGCTTGTCATTTTAGCGGACATTCTTTCTCTTTAATTATCATCTTGTTCTATTCTAGCAACAATGTCATTTGAGACTTGAATTTTCTTTCAATTTTGTTATAACACATTAGAGGTTTGTGCACGTGACAACCAGGTTTTGGGGTATTTTTAGGTTGATTATAAATTTCCGCATTTTATCATAATAGCTGAGTCTTAGGCTGACTTGTCTTGGTGGGATAAGACGAGTGCCATCACGTTCATTTTTGGGTCGTGAAATTTTTAAACTTCCAATGTCTCTAGGTAATTGCATCGTCTAGCTTATTGAACGAACATCTACACTAGAATAAGACGTACCAATGCATAATTGGTAGCGCTATTAGTGGTGAAATCAGAATTTCAATTAAGGGGCGTCAAAATATAAAGAAATAAAATCGTGTAAAAGTCAATATGTAATATATATACATAAAAGAATATTTTTACCTTTGCTACACAATGAATTTTCCGATGAAAGTGTGTCAGTCTACACCCCTGAAGTAAATGTGGCTCTGAGTGCTACTAACCATTTCTCCGTCCCAAAATAAATGTCTGTTTTAGCAAAAGAAATTTATTTCAAAATAATTGTCCTTTTTAGAAATTCAAGACAATAATTAGTACTCTCGCTGCCTCATACTCCCTTTGTCCCAATTTATGTGGCACTTTTCGTTTTTCGAGAGTCAAACAATTTAAGTTTGACCGAAAATTTGCGCATGAAATCTTCAATTTTCTTGAAATGAAATTTATATATTTGTAAACTACGTAAAAAGTACTATAAGTCATAACAATTGATAATTCAAAATGTTTAAAAAATCTATGAAAAATTTACGATCAAAGTTAAACTTGTTTGAATTTCAAAATCCGAAAAGTGCCATATAAAATAGGACGGAGGAAGTATTAATAGTCCACTTTCTTTTTTACACTCCTTAAAAATGGTAAATAAGGACAGTTTTATTACATCCTTCCCTTTTGTGTGTGAAATCAAGAAAATTTTTGCTTCTAATTTTATATTCGTTTGGTTCTTAATTAATTGTCCACTTTTGAATTGACACATCTAGTAAGAAATAATGATTGACATACTGAGTTTACCATTTTACTCCTACTAATTTATGAAGTGAATTGATTAAAATTTTAAGATTTTCAAGAAGTTCTACAATTTTCAAAATTAATTAATTAATTGAGAGTATAAACTATAATAGATAAAAATAATTGTCCTTTCTTAATTTGTCAAAATGGACAAGTAAAACAGAAAAATTAGACAAATAATTAGGGAAAGAGGGAGTACTAGAAAAGTTTGTTAAATTCCCAAAAAATAAACTCTCACTGATAAAATATTTGAAGGACAATGTCATCGACACACCTCATGAGAATTTCCAATGAAATTTCAAACAGGTACTAATAACTTCAAGCCTCAGAGTAGATCTGTGCACTAGATTTATACACATTATACCACTTTATTAAATACACAATATCTGGCTTTTCTTGCTACACTGGAAGATAAAAAAAATCTTAGATCCTTATTACAACAAATAGAATAAAAGAATAAATATAAATATGAATCCAGTGAGACAAATGAAAGAAGCCTAGAGAAATATATGTGTATTTATCCGCAGAAGCATGTGTGTCTAAACATATGCTATAAAGAGTTGTATGTACATAGCCACAATGTAGAAACTTGCAACGAACACCTGCAGTCTTGTCGATGACACTCTCCTAAACTCCTCCACAGCAACTGCTAGCCCCAAAGATGTTGCGTTTGCAAAGAGGGCAGGTCGCGCTCATATATAGCCATTTGTCAATACAAGGACAGTGAAAAAGGTGACCACAGGGAAGTTCTCGAAGTTCATCTCCATCATCGTAAGTAGACAGACATATGGAACATTCCTATTCACGATATATGGACGTGATATAAGCACATTTTGCCAGAAGAAAATAACACAAAAAAAGATAAGGAAAAAGAAAAACAAGTCTACGTACAGAATCATGTACGGAAACTCTGTGTTCATCTGTTGGTGCATCTCCCCCACACAGGGTCATGAATCCAGCAAATGTTCCTTGGTTCTCACTAGTACATTTCTTCTCAGTACAATCATTGCGTTGGAATATGTACTTTGACAGTTTTTCAACATCTTCTATGGCTGCTCCTTTCTGTGGAAAATATTGAAAGAATCATTTAAAAAAATGTCGCACAAACATTACTATAGTTATAGTATGTGAAAAAAGGAAATTCCTTGATCCACGATTTCCATATATGTTTGCTTGTGAAGAGAATTCAATAGGAGAAACCCTGACCTGATGTCAATCATCAATTAACACGTGTGTTTACAAACAGAGAATACCTTCTACTGAATGAGCTGCTGAAATTCGGAGCCCACTCATGTTCTTGGAATAGAGTAGATTGATCTTGTTCTGTGATTCTACATCAACCTAATTACCCGACATAATGACAGTCTGCCACTATTGACACTAAGAATGAAGACCAAGCACTTCGTTGAGTTGCCAATTATCTTGGTTAACTAAAATGTTCATTCCATTTTCTTCTGAAAAGAGCATCCCGAGGATCTCCTTTCAGAGAACGGAAAACATATATCTTCAGGGAAATGAAAGTATATCGACTAGTTCTTTAATACTCCTAAAGGAAACATTGAATTCTAAGTTTCCAGTCTACCAATGGCAGCTTGAATGTATCAACAACGTAATCAGCTGTTGTGAGCAGCCCAATTCATCTTAAAGAAGCCTCATCTTAAACTTATCAATAGCAGGAACAGGTCAATTCTACATTTCACGACATTAACCTAGTCTAATTACATAGGTTACTCACGCAAACCTTACTTTATTGCATGACTATTTCTTCTGCTTCATCCCAGTAGCTCTTGAATGCGTTAAGGGAATCATAAAACGCAATCAATCTACAGACTGAATAAGAAATGTCATTAAATTCACATCTCAGATAAACAGGTGGACAGGCAGAGCACTTTCACATTGCACTCATAAGGGTCAACACTCCAGTGGATCGAACCACAACAAGCTAATTACATAAGATTATCAATCATCTTATCGTACCTATATGGCAGAGTACTAGCTCCAAATATAGATTCCCCAAGAAAGAATTACTCACAGAGAAAAGGATACAAAAATAAAGTTATAAAGAAACTAGAAAAATCATGAGACCATTACCTTATCAGCTACAATGTATAGAACAGCAATAATACATGGAAAGCAACAGCAAATTCCGAGACCAATAGCACAAGCCAGCACAAATAAGAAGATCACAAAGAATACATCAAAAGCCAAGAAAACAATGCAAAGCCTGCATTCAGATTAAGTTATTAAAGATGACAGCTTTGATTTGGGAAATAAACTGAAAATAAAGGTCATACTTTTTGTTTAGATAAAGAAAGTTTTCCATGCATACCAGTACAATTGAGGGGATTCATCCACCATTCGCTGCCCACCAGTACATACCCAATAAAATCCAATGATCCACCAGAATAATGATATCATTGTATTTGCAGAATCCATTAACTTTGTCACATAACTGTACCATTTTTTTTCCGAAAACAAAAATGTTATACAGACCAGCATTGCATAATTAAAATCATTGCAGTTTCTCAGCTTACAACAACAACAACAACATACCCAATGAAATCCCACTAGTGGGGTCTGGAGAGGGTAGAATGTACACATACCTTACTACTATCTCGTGGAGGTAGAGAGGTTGTTTCTCAACTTAACGCACATAAACAATCCGACCAACTACGAGGGGATAAAAAGACATAATAGAAACAAGCAACATTGTAGGGTAAAGAACTTCACTTTCGCTTCCAAATGTAACAAAAATAGATTACTATTCATGAAAAATCTGTTGTTTCCAGCTTTGAAACTCGGTAGATAATGGGTCGTTCCCTCTACCCTTCTCTACTTGGCTCACCAAGTGCTATTGAACCAAAGCCAAGAGCAATTCATATATAAAACTACACAGAGGCAGATGGGCCATTCCCTCTACCCTTCTCTACTTGGCTCACCAAGTGCTATTGAACCAAAGCCAAGAGTAATTCAAATATAAAAACTACACAGAGGCAGATTCAGAATTTAAAGTTCATCGTTTAAAAAACGATTATATGTGCCCAAAGCTTCAACAAGTTCTATTTCTATCAGAAAACCAATAGACTACTTTGTTTATTTCTTATTTACTATTCAATGGATTCCTCAATATGAACACAAGATATGCGCGAAATTCAGTGTATATTGAAAAACTTAAGTTGTAATTCCAAATTCTTTGAGAATATATACCTTGTTCTATCCGGGGTTAAATCAGCCAAAGTAATATAACTCGAATCTACAGTAGGCCTCAAAACCCCCTCTCCGGTGAACAGCGATTGCCCATACCCTCTTCTCCGAAACTCCAAATAAACACTAACAACATGAACCATACAAAGCAAAGAATACCCAATAATCCAAACCCCTAAAGGCATTTCCGGGTTTTCATTTTTACTCAACACCAAAACCACCATAGCAGCAATTATGTACATGAAATTCCACAATAGATCGATAACCACAACAGGTTTTGAATAAGCCCAATTACTCTGCCGATCATCAATTTGCTCAGACGGTTCATGCATCATTAATGCCCTTCGATTGCTAGCTCTTCGCATAAACCTAATCGTTTCACGAAGACTGTAACGATTAGTTGATCGAAAGAGAAAAAATCCGTCATTGTTGTTTGATCTTAGTAATGGTGAACTCGATGGACTGGGTAAAAACATTTTTTCAAATGATTTGAGAGAAATATTGTTGAATCAATAATAAATTTTTTGTATAATTGAACAAAATAGCTTCTTTTTTTTTTGGGTTAAGAAGAAGCAAAATGTTGTAGGGACCAAATAATTGGATATGGTTTATGAAAAATCTAACGATTATTTATATAAACTTATTTAACAGTATTTGAAAATTGGAAATTTCCTACTCTCCTTACTTTGTTGTCCCATGTGGCACCGTTATTTTCTCCGTTAGTTACTCGAATTCACAATTTCAATATTCAAGATGGTTTACCGAGTAATTCTCTTATTTCATGTGATAATTTCTTTTTAGTCTGTTCTAATGAAATGTTATAGAGGTAAGTTTAAAAGTTTTTATTTATCTTAATAAGTAGATATTTAGATTTATTTTTTGATCTTTTTAAGTCAAATTAAATGATATTATCTATTTTTAAAAAATGGAATATTGGATATAACAAGTGTGATGGTTTAGGAGTTGGGACACATGAACTTCACTTGAAAGATATTTTTCTAAAAATTGAAGAAAAAAAAAGTGCGTGGAAATGATTATTTACTTAAAATATTTCCTTTTTTCTCAAAGCAATATTTTAGAATTTCAAAGAATAAACAATTAATAAAATAATAGAGGAATAAACCTAAATTACAAAAAAAAAAAAACTAAAAAACTTTGGGTGTTGACTATATTATTTTCCTCAAATAACGCATTTATTCAGTCCGATAAATAAGTTCTTTGATTATAACGATTATTAAGCATGATCCGTAAATAGAATTTATATTGCACATTTTCCTCATATAACACATTTATTTAGTGCGATAAATAAGTTTATTGATCATAATGATTATCAAGCTTGATCCGTAAATAAAACTTATATATCACATTGAATAAGTGTTATATCTAGATTTTGTCAACTTTAATTGTTACGTTATTTTAATTACTTCTTATTTTTTAGATTTCAGATCCTACTAAACTGAGCTTACCTAAATTCCACTTTTAAGGTTTATTTGGCTAAAAAGGAAGTGTTAAAAGTAGATAACTAATTTAACCTAAAAGGAATCATTGATTTGCTTATATCAACTTCCAAAAAGTTGGATATAACTCATTAAAAATTTAAAATGATGATTTTGGTGCAAGAAATTATCATTTTTTACCCTATAATGTTCAAAAACTCAAGACAGGGCAAACTTAGAATTTTTGAAAAAAGTAAACCTAATTCCTGTTTTTTTACGTACGAGAAGTGATAAGTTATAAGAAATATATTATATGAATTAATGAATCAATTAAACTTCGATCGAATTATACAAATCTTAGTCTCATGACGAATGGAGCTTGATTAAGCTATGGGAAAAAGAATTGAAATCATTTAATATATATTGAACTTAAATGTCAAATAAATCGTGAATGAAGTTTGAAATTACATAAGGAGCACGAGAAATTAAATTTATGATTAGTCAATAATCAACTTAAACTTAAATAGGTTGAACATGTCATGCTATCATAGACTGATTTTATCACCTCTAATCACATGAATCTCAGGTTTGAGCCGTGTGTCTTTGGACCTGGACCCTTTGCTCGGAGTAGTGAAAAGTTTATAAATTACACAGGCCGTCCTTCTTTCACAATTCACAATATTTATTGAAAATAATAAATAGAATTATTCAATAACCATGGTGTGTACATAGCTGGACCATGCACTTGTTCAGAACTGTAGGGGACCTTACTCGTTTGTTTGGTAGTTGATTTGGAGGTAGTTATGCATGTATTAAATTTTGTATAAGTTATATCACATTAGATAATTGATTCAAGGTAAATTATTTATGTATAAAATTAATATGATTTTTTATTTTCCCACGTACGTAGCTAATATTATATAAGTTAGGAGAGAATCAATTATATAAGAAAAAGTAACACAAGATATAATCTCAAATGCAAGACCCATTTTCTATTAAATCACAATTGATCATGTCAATGTTATCTTTTTTTAAAATTATTTTTATTCATTATTATTATTATTATTATTATTTATTTATTTATTTCAATACTTAATGGTGATTGGGAAATTTTCTTATACAAAACAACCATTTCATCCCTTTTCATTAACTTCAATAGACAAGTCTGTGATAACAGATGCGGAGCCAGAAGTCTGAATTTTAGTATTTTTAAATTACTGAATTATAAAAATACAAGATTTGAATCAAAATTATTAATGAGTTCGATCGAATACATATATAATATACTCTAGCTCTGAACTTGCTTGACGAAGCTTAATTCTATCAAAGAAAATATGCCTGGAAAAATTACAAATCTAATAGAGAAAATAGAAAAATTTGACAAAAGAGTAAGTCAAAAATACATAAATGAACTCTTAACAGATAAATTTGCTAATAAGAACTCATATAATAAAGATAGTCTTGATGAGAAACTTATTCAAGAATTTTTGAAAAAACACAAAAATAAAGAACTAGAACAATTTAGTAAAGAAACTTTGAAAGAAAAAATCGAATTAGAACAAATCAAAAAGGAAGAAAATCATGAACATAAAAATGAATGAATTAGACGAACTAGTTTATGCTTTAGAAGACCTTGATCTTTCAGATCAAAAATTAAAAGTTCTAACAAACAAGGGAGATATAGGAGGACCCCATGGGAAATTTGATATAGGGAAGGATCAAACACCCTAAAAGAAGAAAATTTACAACCAAAAAATTTCGAAAGAAATTTCATACCAAAAGCAAAAAAAGGTAAAGACTTCATGAATCAATATTATAATAGCAATAAATCTAAATATATGCCAAATAGACTCTCAACATGAGATGTAGGAACAACCCAATTTCTAGACCTAAACTGTAAAGAGAACCAGAACTAGATTTAGATATATGGGCACAAAACATATTTCTTTTCTTTCTATTAGGAAAATGAATAAATTTCACCGACGAGGAAAAATATATCATTGCGATAAATACTTTTACCGGTAAAGTAAGCAATTGACATACCGGACTGTCAGATGATGCGAAAGGAATCATCAAAAATCATACCATAGAATGATTCAAAAAATCCATTCAAGAAGGGATAAGAGCCCTTATACAGTTCGTAGGAAACGAATTCCTAGTTGGTGAAGGAAGTGCATCACAAAATAGAGAAAAATTAAGAATAATAGCAAAAGAACAATTAGAAAAATTGCAAATTTGCAAAATGAGTTATATTCAAGAATACACTTGTGAATTCAAAAAATATTATTATAAGATATTTGATAGCAGTAAAAAAATGTTGCCATACCTTGAAAAATATTTTCAAAAATTACCAGGCTTTTGGGCAAAATATTTTAGAGAAGAATATGAAAAAGAAAACATGGAAGGAGATACTCTTGAACAAAGAATATTTTCCTAAACAATAGACTTGGACAACTATGTATGACACATAACATACAAAGAAATGCCAAAAGAATCAATACCCAAATTTATTGCCTAGATACAAATGCTGCAACACAATGGGGATGCAACGATAAGTCCTATAAAAGACGAAAGAAGCACAAGAAAGGCTTAATCAAAAGGAAAAATATTTCAAAAAAGGACTATGTACCTAAAAAACGGTATTGTAAAAAGAAAAATAATTTTCAGAAAACAAAAGATAAATGTAAATGCTACAACTGTGGCGAAGAAGGACACAAAAGTTACGAATGTAACAAAAAAAGAGTAAAAATATCAAAAATTGATAGACTAGAAATTGATTCAGATTTGAAATCGGTAACATCAATAAAAAGTGATGAATTCTATGAAAAATTATATGAATAATATTCAACCAGCTTAGAAGAATCAGACTAAATGAATCAAGAAATACAAAAAGAAACGGATAATTCAATACAAAATATAGAAATTGAAGAAGATCAAAGGGGTTATGCCCTAAAAGCAACATTCGATGGAGTATTATTAAAGAAAATCCAAGGATTACAACTTAATCTCAAAACTGCAGATAATATATTCAACAAAATGCAAAGAATGTTTGCAAGAAATTAAATTTCCTATCATGAATATCAAGAGATGGAAGAAGTAATAGAAATTACCCAAGCTACAGGAAAACATAAGTTACGAATAAAAAAAGAGTAAAAATTTCAAAAATTAATAGACTAGAAATTGATTCAGATTTGAAATCGGTAACATCAATAAAAAGTAATGAATTCTATGAAAAATTATATGAAGAATATTCAACCAGCTTAGAAGAATCTGACTAAATGAATTAATAAATACAAAAAGAAACGGATAATTCAATACAAAATATAGAAATTGAAGAAGATCAAAAGGGGTTATGCCCTAAAAGCAACATTCGATGAAGAATTATTAAAGAAAATCCAAGGATTACAACTTAATCTCAAAACTGCAGATAATATATTCAACAAAATGCAAAGAATGTTTGCAAGAGATTAAATTTCCTATCATGAATATCAAGAGATGGAAAAGGTAATAGAAATTACCCAAACTACAGGAAAACATAAATTAAATCTTTTAACTAAACCAATAATCGAACAGATCCTCAGAAAAATTCCTGAAAGAAAAAGAAAATAAATAAATTATGTCCATTTAGGAGGAATCCAATTTCAGTTAAATCAACTTTTAAAGAAGGGATCAAGTGCCCTATTATCATCAACCTTTCAGATGAAAGATTCATGAATGCCAGAGAAGGAAATCTTGGTGTAGTTGAAGGCAACCTAGCCAATACCAAACTCCTATTTACATATTATCCCAAGTACTGTATTTCACTTAAGGATGCAGACTTTAATGATGCTTTGAGCTTACATTTTCAGGTAAAAAGAAACAACCTATTCAAACCATGTAATTGTCACGCCCCGAGCCTACACCCTGGGCGGGATCGGCACCAGGAGACCATTGCTGGCCCCAGGCGAACCCTTGGTCTGGCTTTCTTAACTCAGCGAAACTTAACTCAACAGTACAACTCAATGCAATGAAAGGTTATAAACAACCAACTGATGCATAACATGCCAAAAGGCAGCTCGAGTCTCAAAATAGAATATTTACATATATACATAGATGAGAGACTCAATACTAACTGATTGACTGTCTATGAAGCCTCTACATACTAAGATGGATGTT